GTTGGTTCGTGGTGGGCTAAGGGGACATCCGAGATGAACGGGTGTCTTGAAAAAAAGGTGATCTCGAAGAACGAGAAGAAAGGAGCACGAGCGGTGTTTTCGATTGGTTGACCTTGCACACATGAGGTCCTCATGTTTGTCTCCAATGTATGGCTATAATGTCGTATGGTTTTATGGTTAGGTTTTGATGAGCGCCGATTTCTTTTTTTCAATTCTGTTTTTTTCTTCACATAGGTGTCACATCGCATTGTTCGACCCTTGGCGAGGCGTTCAAGGGAAGAGAAACGTGCATAGCAAGCGAAGCGAAAGCCGATGTATGTTCTAGTTTTTGTGCTTGGGATCCTCACTCCAGATATACGCAGTATGCTCTGCTTGTTAGCTTTATTCATGTTGAGCAGGTGGGACTCACAGAGAGGGGGGAATTTGCGGAGGTCGTTATGTAAACCCTAGCTAACATCATCAGTTGACTGGGCATACGAAGAAGGGAAGAGGAGAGAACAAGAAATTTATGACTATACCCCCATCATTCTGATTTGAGTTGTAAACATTGACCCCCGACCCTGTGCTGTGAAGTCTGTCTGGTACACAGGCTGAAGTTGAGAGTAGTTTGGCGGTTGCTCCTGGGTTCATTCCTGACGACCAGATTCTGCGCTTTGGTGGGTTACGTGGCTTACGTCAGTGGTATGAATTTAGGCTGGGTGTCGAGCGCAATCGTGCCCACCTGTCTCTTCGGATATCTCGGTGACTGATCACAAAAAGTCTGTTTTTATATCGATTGCACACCACCTGTGGCTAGATCCGTCGAACACAAAGAGCAAGAATGGGGCGGTGTCTGTCAAGCTCTCACAGATTTCTCTTATCTTTGATTATTTCGTTTTCCATGATAAATGACGGTTTAATACCAACACAGACGACACCACCGGTTTTACATACCCTCGGCTCTACTTGGCCTATCCAGCTCATATATAAAAGCTCCTGCGGTGTACGGCATGTGCATGAAGCACGGTGTCCGGGCTTTGTTCCTTGGTAAAAAGAGCCACATAACATGATCTGCCCCGGCCGAGAATGGAGCTCAGTACTGAGTAGGTAGGTATCTCTAAGCTACCCTAATCGGCCAGAAGATCCCCGTCGTTGGCTGGGAGTGCTGGAAGGAGCGGAGGAGGGCTTATATGAGCGGGCGCCTTTGGGGTTGAGATTGGAAAGAGCATCGGCGAGTGCTTGCGCCGGGTATAAGACGGGATTTTCCCCACAAAGCTTTCCCTGTGCGGGGTATCTACAGTTGGGCCTGGCACGCCTTTTCCTCTTTCATCAAACAAGCCATTCATCAAGCATTTCCCTTTTCTCCCTGGTTCCATTTTCAAGTAAGATTCCATATGAAAACTATCTCAGGTGTAAGTTATCCGATCCTATGCCGTGGTACGAATTATCAAGTGATGAGCGAGTTCGGTTAGCTTTCGAAATTACATCCGTGCGAGATCTGAAAGTCTGTTCTGTGTTGCTCGATGAAGCGTCAAGAAGCTATAAGGGGCAATGAATATGTAGAAGCTCACCATACAATTTGACGGGCTTGTTGCCGCCCTTCACAACTCAAACAATCCCCCTAATGTCCGAAACTGGTTAACTCCCCCGTCCCAATCGCCTCATGGCGCCTAAGATGCCCAAAACACCTCTCAGCGCAGCATCCAAAGATTACTAAAGCCTGTACAAGACCACTTCTCCCCCTTTCTTTCGAATTCAAGTCATGATAAACGAGTGTCTGCAGGGTTGACAGTCTTCCACACCTTCAAAGCTGACATCCACTTGCAACATTATGTGTTGGCCTTCGGATAGACCGCAACTCGGAAGCCGAGACGGCATTTAAGACAAAATGATCTACCAAAGCTGAACACCAAATTTTTCGCCGATGTGGGTTTAGAGTGAGACCTGCATCACCGGTGCTGCGGGTTCGGGAGCAAAAGACTGCACTACCTCAACTCAGCTCGACTATTTCTTGCGCCATTGCTCGATAGGGCGACATGGACCGCGATGAATTTTTTCGCTCTTGTCAGTGCATGCTGCGATGGATGTGTTTGGCCAGCCAATTGCTCACGACTCCGTCGTTGAACAGACCCTTTTTTTCGTAATTGATTGATGGCTGGTTGAATGGTCGGCCAAATGCCTCCTCAGTGACGTCAAACTATTCCACTTACCTTTTCCCCGAACATGTTGGTTGGGGCCACTGAGGACCTTGCGGGGTGCTGATACCGGAGAATCAGAGATGGACTTTAAACACGACGGACCCCAGGTTCCTGGAGGGCAGATCACCTCACAGATTTCAATATAATCCCATCCACCCAAACTACTCAGTCTGAACCTAATCGTTCTATGGCCGAAAACGCAACAAAACCGCTGGTTTTCACCTTTGGCCGTGCCACCTTGACTTATAGCGCGCCTGATCTTCACAGCGCCTGTGACCCTCGGTGTCAGAGCACGCACGGTTCGCGACCAAGACCGACCCCTACCTCCGCGGAGTTTACGCCGTCAACTCATTCAATAGTGGTAAGTCGAAAGCCGGATGACTTACCCTCAGCCACTCGTTGCTCAACACTTGAACCCGAGACAATGGCATTCTGAAACTTCCCGGGCCATGAAGCATCGTTCATTGCTTGGTCGTCCTTGAAGGTTCAAGCATGGCTCAAGCAAGGATGTACAAGGAATTGCACTGCCCGTCCAAGCGACGGCATGATGCAAGCTGCGCAGTGTCTTTGGAAACAATACCATGTGCGTTCGGGTGGGAGCTTTAAACTTTTCCCACCGCTTTGGTTCAAAATTCTCTTTCTTGTACGGGAATTGTTCTTGGATTTGTCTTGCCTGTCTGTCGGTAAGAGCTTCCAAGTTCCCACTCTATTCTTATTTCATGGGGTTTCGGGGCAATCTCGTGTATCTTTGATTCACTCATTTCTTCCCACCTTATGATCGCCACACCAAGCGATATCGCATTACTTGTCAGGGGGGACTCGACTTCTCGAACCTCATAATGCGGGATCAACCGCCATCTCCATATTCACATCTGTCTCCAAGTTGGAGATTCTCGATACTTTTTCCTGAAGCCGAGCACAAGTGGCAAAGGGACAGGGCGATTACGCGTTGCTTGGCAGGACCCGGCAGAACCCGGGGTCGTACATAAAGATCATAAGACGTCCTGTTTGCACTACACGTGTACTAAATCCATCATGATGCGCAGTTTCACGCGCCACAGATTCTCTCGCCAGCGGGTTAGCTCCTCATCAACCATCGACGACATGTCTAGCCTCCGACCGTGTTCAAGCACATCGTCAAGGGGACGGGATACTGGGTTCCCAGAGCCCTTCAATGGAGGTGCGTAAGCATGGCATACCTATCACTGCATATTGGTCTTGACTAACATCATTATCAGACCGAAACACAACATTACCACACCCAGAAGCCAATCTCAGCCCTAACGCTACCCTCGGCGAGGAAGACATCTCGACGGAAAGGGCACTAATGCGGGCCCGAAATTCGTTCCTAAAAGACCCGACTTCAAGTCCCAATAGCGCCGAAGGGTTTATGGACAGCATCAAGAACATGGAACGTATGGCTCGCGCGGCAAGAGGTGATATCAGCAAAACAACACCAGACAATGGCGCGACATGGGTGACAACACCAACAACAACGACAGCAGCAGCAGCAGCAGCAGCGACAACAGCAACATCACCAGTAAAGGACAGCGAAAGTGTCATGTCCGCATCATCAGGTGGCTCAGGCCCTCGACGACTAGAGACCCCGTTCGTGAACCGTGCACGGCCGCTGTTCTCACCGGACTCGCCGGAGTCCAGAAGGAGCACGAAATCGACGGGGAAGAGGGCATGGTTTGCCAGGAACATATTGGGCAGGTCGCCTTGAACGACGGGCTCTTGGCTGGGTTGACGAGGCTGTGCGGGTGGCTGATGTTGCGGTCTGGCCGTGCTTGGCACAAGTCATCCAGAGGACGATGGTGATATTGTTCGTATCACTCGGCTAGGGCGGAGTGATTCACCAAGACGATAGAGCAATGTCGAGCGGGGTCGGGCGGGCCGAAAGCTTTAAGAGTCTTTCTGCATATTTTCTTGTCTCTTTTAGCGCGGAGTTTTTTTGTCCAGGGTTGCATAACATCAGGATTTGGGTTGAAGGAGTGAGGGAAAACGGTAGCATTGTACAACACATTACAACACATCACAGAACGACCAGAGACGAATTTCTTTTGTATCGAAGCATTCGAAGGGAGCAATAACACTTGGGTTTATATCTGTTTAATTGATGGGGTATTGATTTTATAAGGTGTGGAGGAACTGTGAGAGTATCGGCATGAAGCTGGGCTTTATGGCGGACCAAGATTGGAAGAGCAACTTGAGAATTCTCAACTCGGCCCTCTCCAGTCCAAAACAGGGAATTGTGCAGAGCAACTATTACCTCCCATACACGGCTTTTACCTGGAAAGTATGGTCGTTCCTAATAACAAAGCCCATTGCTTTCGCACTCGATAGCTAGAATCGCGAAGGTGAAATATCACATCTTGTCTTGCTCGCCGCTAGTCAGCGCTATAGCATATGATTATATTTATACGATTCAATCGGTGTTTGTTTGCACCTTTAGTAACTAGGAACTCCTGGTATACTGGACGAGATGTCTTCCAAGTTGCCTCAAACCTCTCAAGGACTCAAAGAATGGCTAGATACGAATTGGAAAGGAGCTAGCAAGATCCCATACAGTGTATATCATTTGGAGAAAGCATGTTCACAGCATGCAAATATCTAGGGAAGTTGACTCGAGGTCTCGAGCTGACAATATCAAACCGGTTTCGGACTGTATAAAACAAAATGCCAAATAAATCGAAACCGTTGAAACGTTGATCTGTCATGCTCATTTTCCCCATATCTGCAACTGATTCAGCCGCTTCCATCCTTCCACTACTACAACGACGTCATCGCTCCTCCTCCCATGTGGTTTCTCATTTGACCCGTTACCCACCCCCCGTGTCTCCAACCCCCCCAATCCCGTCTTTCCTTTCTTTCCTTTTGGTTCCTCCCAACGTCTTCCATCTGAAGCTCCCCCTCTAACTCCCCCGATAAGTAGAATAACTATACGGCGCCAACAGGAGCGGGACATGATAAGTCTGTCCCTCCTCCACCCTAAACACCACCGTCACCTCGGGGAAGAAGGTCTTATCCTCCCCACCGAAATACCCTGCCGTATCAAAGCGCAACATCCATCTCGACGGGCCCTTGATGTCGTTGACAAAAACGTCTTCCAGAGTGTAGACGGGGACTTCGCCCGAGGAGAGCGCGGAGGAATAGGGCAGCCAGGTCTTGATGCGGCCGTCTTCGTCGGTTATGGATTCAAAGGTTTTGCTGGGGGTTTGGGAGGTGGAAGAAGAGGTGGAAGAAGACAGAAGCTCGAGCTTGACGCGCACCGAACGGGCCGGTTGGCCGAGGGAGGTGTCGAGGATGTGGCACGTTATGCGGTCTTTGGTTGCCATTTTTTCATACAATGATTTAGAGTTCTCCTCCTGCTCTTTAGGGTCTCGAAACAATTATGAGGTCAGAAATGGCTCCGAGAGGTGAAGAGGTGCGATGAGTTTGAGGTGAAGTGAGGTTTGGAACTTATGGGGACTTTTGGAGGTGAAGTTGACGGACAGGGGTCTGAGTGACAGCTGCGCCCAGCTTGGGGGGGAATGGTGGGGCATGAAGCGGGGCTTGTTCTCAGCGATAAACGCGTTACATATGTGAAAACCAAGGGACAGACAGGTACGTACGTTGGTGATTGTTTTGGGGGGTTCTGCTAACTCTTCAGTGACTTCCGTTTTGACTTTGATGAAGAGCTCAAGTCACAGATTCATCAGTCTCAAACCTAAGATAGAAGAAACCCCGAATCTTTTTGTATCATTTCAAGGTGTGAAGTCCGCTACGACGGGACGGGGCGTCAACCGACACAGCCTCCTCGTTCCCGCCGCACGGCAGCAGCGACGATGGGGAACCACCACTGGGGCCGTCGGCGGCTGCCGTGCACCGCTGCAGCTCTCAGGCGGAGCTAGCTCCAGCTCCAGCAGGGTTCCCATCGTGGTTCCCATCCCAGTTGTGCTACTATGTACATGCTACATAGTCTATGTACCTACCCACCGGCATTTGGAGAGCCATAAGCCGTAAATAGAAACAGGGTGCTGAGAAACACTGCCACGGTCCTGATGATGCGGTACTTGTGTGGTTCCCTTCGATGGCTCAGGGTGCCACACAACGCTGGGAAAGAGCCAATTCGACGTGGAAGAATGGGGAAGCCTAAAATGGGGGTGCCACGAAGGTCTCATGCTGTCACAGAGAGGGAAGGATGGATATGCAATCTTTTAGCGACCAGAGTTTGAGTTCCATGTTTGATGTCGACATGTCTGGGATGAACGTGACAGGAGATGAATATCGAAATTGGGGGCACCCTTGCAAAGTGGCCAGGGGAGGACCACAACATGTGTAAAAACGGCCCCACGATGCGGCGCTTTCCCACCCCTGTAAATATTTTGCGTATGACTGAAACCTGGGGAACGGGGTGTGCAATGAGTCACGTCATTTATTTTGGACAATGAAAGCCGACACCGGGCATATACCTATTGTTGAGAGTCATCAACATCAATGAATAGGGGGGGGGGGCGGGGGGGGTTCGTGAGTGATTGAAGAAAGAGCTGAAGCGGGAGTCACTTAGGTTTGGTGACACTCCGATTCCGCCAGAGGCTTGAACCCTGAAAAAGGACTCGAGACTTGGGAAGCCAAGGCGAAGAAGAGTGGAGATGTGCCAAACTTCTAGACTCTTTGAACTCTTCACTGCACTGTCTTTGCACTTAACAACTCAGACTTGTCTTAGATAGTTCATATAATTTTTTAGTCTCAGACACATATCAAAATGCCTTCCCGCGCGGACATCACCTACTTCGGCGCCGGCCCTGCCGCCCTTCCCACCGACGTCCTCGAGACCGCCGCCCAGGCGCTGCTCGACTACCAGGGCACCGGCTTGGGTATCGCCGAGCACTCTCATCGCTCCGAACTTGCGGCCAAGATTATCAACGAGGCCAAGGCCGACCTGGCCACCTACCTCGGCTTCTCTCCCGAGCAGTATGAGGTTCTCTTTATGCAGGGTGGTGGCACCGGCGAGTTCGCTGCCTCCATGTACAACCTCGTTGGCGCCTGGGTTTCCCGCCAGCACGCCGCTGTCCAGAAGGAGCTCGGCGAGGGTGCGGCCGCCGATGAGGCCCAGGTACTTGCCGCCCTCCGCCAGCGCGTAGAGTCCGGCCTCAAGGTTGACTACATCGTCACCGGCTCCTGGTCGCTCAAGGCCTACCAGGAGGCCGTCCGCCTGCTCGGCCCCGAGTACGTCAACCTAGTGTGTGACGCCCGCACCATCAACGACGGCAAGTTCGGCAAGATTCCCGACGAGAGCACCTGGAAGCTTAGCAAGGACGCCGCCTACGTCTACTTCTGCGACAACGAGACCGTTGATGGCGTTGAGTTCCCCAACTTCCCCAAGATCCTCGAGCCCAAGGAGGACGGCACCGGCCCCATTGTTGTGTCTGATATGTCCTCCAACATCCTCTCTCGCCGCATCCCCGTCAACAACTACTCCCTCCTCTTCTTCGGCGCCCAGAAGAACCTTGGCTGCACCGGTGTCGCTGTTGCCATCCTCAAGAAGACCTTCCTCCCACCTACCCTCAGCCAGCCTAGCCCGGCCCTGCTCAGGAAACTCGCCCTTCCTATCCCTCCTATCGTTCTTCAGTATGAGATCATTGCCAAGAACAACAGCTTGTATAACACGCTGAGCATCTTTGAGTAGGTTTCTCTTGAACTTCTTCAGGGGGCGTGTGTTCCAGGCTAACAAGGTGATAGTGTCTACATCGCGGGCCAGGTCCTCAAGAAGCTCCTCGCCACTTTCCCCAACGGTGTTGACGGCCAGCAGGCCCTTGCTGAGAAGAAGGCCGAGCTCATCTACTCGGCCTTGGAGGCCCATCCTGAGGCTTACAAGATCGTTCCGGACAAGTCTGCCCGTTCCAAGATGAACATTTGCTTCCGCGTCATCAAGGTGGGTCAAGTTTTTCCGGTGCCGGTTGCTCTTTGTTGAGAGATGGGCTAACATGTCTTTCCAGGGTGGCAACGTCGACGAGGCCGAGAAGGCTTTCCTCAAGGAGTCCACCGCCATCAACCTGACCGGTCTCAAGGGCCACCGTAGCGTCGGTGGCATCCGTGCTTCCAACTACAACTCCATTCCTCTGGAGGGTGCTGAGAAGCTGGCCAACTTCATCCATGAGTTTGCCAAGGCTTAAGCTACGAAGTTTACCTAAACCAAAAAGAAAGGTATACAAATCTAGAAATATGGGTAGGGGGGTTTAGGAACCGGCATAAAAGTCAGCTGGAAGGCGCAACATGGGATGGTATGGGATAGCGGGGAGTATAGGTGTCGGGTTCTTCGACAACAAAAAGTATAATACACACCCAATTTCAAACGCGATTGGGATGGATACCCCCATGACACAGAAACTCATCTTCAAAGGCCATTTCATTTGTAGCAGCCACTTCCCCGGTTTCTTTCTTTCTCACCACGTCATCAACTGGGCCCTTTCTCACTGCCCATCCTTTTCAATAATGTCCCTCAGCCATCTCGGCACTTCAGGCCCCTTCTCCCATCCCTCCAAATACCTCTCCTTCCCCACATCCTCGCCCACGGGCTTCGCATAAATCCCTGTTACATACCACCACTTTTCCCCCTTCTCAATCCTATGCTGCAGCGTCGGAATCGTTGTCCTACTCTCCACCAAATTCGAGTTCGGATCCGCATTCACGAGCATCGCCTCTCTGCCCCCTCTTGTCTCTTTCTCAATTTCTAGCGCTCTGATCCCCACCGCTCCCGCCCTCGACACCGCAAACGCTCCCTTCTTGGCGGGAGCCCAGGCTTCGGGAGTGTTCAGGTCGTAGTTCCCGATGAGCTTGGGGAAAGTGCCCTCGCATTTCTCTGCGTCGTACAAGTCTAGGTACCGACCGTCCGGGGTGCGCTCGTTGAGGATCGCGAACGACCCGTCGGCCGTCATCACCTCGCGCCCCTGAGCGTGGATGTGGTGCACGCGCAGGTGCCAGTTGGGGGCGGCGGGTGTGGGCGGGAGGAGGTAGGTGGTTATGAAGACGTCTGGGTAAGGTGTCCAGTCGGAGATGAGCACGGGGTTGTTTTCATTAGAGACAAGACGGGAGGTGGACAGTCGGCGAGTCTTCCAGTACTCGCCTCCGTCATCAGAGAATCCCAGTTGTGAGGCCAGGGCGTATTGCTCGAGCGTGAAACAGCCCGGGGGAACCGAATAGCCAAAGGCGGAGGAGTAAGCGAAGGCGCCGTACTTGGCGTGGGTGCCCTTCATCGGGTAGGAGCAGGCTTGGCCAGAGGAGAGAAGCATGCAATGGCCGCCGAGGTTGCTCATGATGTGACCCGGTTGCGGGAGCGGTTTGACGGCGGGGATGACCGGCCACGGGTCTTCTTCGGAGGAGGTCCAGAAGGGGTGCGTTTCGGGCACGGCGAGACAGATGAAGGCTAGACAGGCCCAGTAAGGGGAGCCGGGGCTGTTATAGTTCTCGGCCATGTACATATTGGGGTAGGAGTAGCCGATGGTGAGCGTGCCGGCGGGGCTGAACATGTTGTCTTGTGTTTGCCACCATCGGAGATGGCGGAGGACGATACCTTTGACCATGCCCCAGGTGAGAGGGGCGGGGAGCTCGACGTCGGCGTAGGCGAGGGCGCCCCAGAAGGAGACCATGGCGAAGCGGTAGCCGACACTTCGGCCAAAGGGGATGGCGCGGCCTGGATGTTGGTTTAGAAATGTTTCTCTTGGATTGAACATGACCTGAGTGGTCACTCACCTTCTTTGTCATAGTAGTGTACCAGATCCAATGCGGCAACCTGTGCCCTCCTCTTAAACTCGGCAGCCCGTTCGGGCTCATCTTGGCCAGCTAGTTTTGCATAAAGTAGCTGAAGGAAGTGGATGGCAAAGCTCGAAGAGTAGTAATCCATTTCTTTGACTTGTTGTCAGCGTTTTCTCCTCCATGGGTAGGGCCAGGTGGCGCAACATACGATGAATACCCTCCGGGCCATCATTAGACCACCCATCACCGCGGTAAAACGTATTGAGATGCTCGATATCAGCATCCAATCTCTCCTGGGAGAACTTTCCACCATTCTTCTTCAATCCAAGGTTGGCAAAGACTCGGAACCACAGCCAATTAGTGTTGGGCATGCTGTGAACACCCACTGCAGTTAGCATTCTCCGTTTCCTTCCTTCCTTCCGTCCTTCCTTCCTTCCTTCCTTCCTTCCTTTCCTCCCCCACTCGCCTCCTTCCCTTCTTCCATTTCCACATATACCGTCGGTTCCCCCTTCCCTTACCAAACTGCCTCCCCACTCCTCGGCTCTCACCGCATCCCAAGCCCAACCAAAAAGAGAAAGAGAGACCACTTACTTCTTCTCATTCACACTTTCCCCAAGCCATCTCTCAACCCCTCTTTGCCCCGTCTCCCCAAGTCCCTCCCACAACCCAGGCACCACCGCCAGCGCAAACCCCAACGGACACATCTCCACCATCCGCTGATCATTGTCCCTCGGCCACCCCCAAAACTCTTTTGAAGTTTCGTCAACCCCGTTCCTAATCCCCTCGATCCACCAATCTTTGTGTTCATACTCCCCGCTTCCCGCCAGCAAACAAGCCAGTCCCCAGAGTGGACGGGCAAGTCCCTCGATTTCGGAAGCGGTTTGGTCGAATCGGACGGCGGTGGCGCCGGGGATGCGGATGCGCGATTTGAGGGGCGAGAAGAAGGGGAGGAGGGGGTCGAGGAGGGTGCGGAGAAGGGACTGGACGGAGGAGCGGGTGGAGAGGGGGTTGATGAGGGAAAAGGGGTGGGGGGTTGAATGGCCGAGGAGGAGGCCGGGGACGCCTTCCGGGGTCGTGGTGTTGTTGGTGGCCAAGGGTTTGTTGGTGTTCATGTTGGTGCGGCTATTGATGGGTATGATGTAGTGTAGGTATGGTAAAGAGGTAGGCGTTCACGGTCTTTGGCCTCACCCGATTGTTGGAACACTCGATAGTTGGAAGGTAAGAAACTCTGGAGAGACTACCGACGTGACAACAACAAAACAAACCAAAATAAAACAGAAAAAAGACAACGAGATAACATGTACAGGAAACGGGCACTTCCCGGTATATCAAGCTGGATGAACGATACCACATGGTCGCAGTCCATCATTACCACCCACCACCACCTCATTCCCCTCACTTTATCTCGCGGTTCATTATCCCGAAAGGCCTGAATATGTAACCATCACAACTTGATTCAAAGATAGTGGAGCCATTGGCGCCTGGATATTATGGTTCAAGGTTCGGATAAGGGACAGGCACTCAACGGTAATCGGGGATTTTCCGCAGGAGCAATCTGCTGACGAGGGTAGAATGATAAATCAGGCTGCTCGCGGCTAAAATGCTTCTTCCCCCTTGCCGCTCGCTAACTGACAAGTTGGGGAGTGCGTACATAGGTGGAAAATGGGGGATCGCCGTAACGACGTAACATCTCGCCTTTTATGGGGCATCCACCCCCACGAGGTAAAAGAGAGCCAAGAGAGTTATTCCATGAATCCCCGGAAAGATTGGCTTCAAGTGATGATGGTCACCTACCTATTTGAATCTTGATCACGGACAGTACAGCATTCTACTTTTATCCACACAATCAGCTAGAATTCTTGAGCTACGGAAAAGCCATGGTATCAAAAACATCTTGGTCCTCAACTTCTACTTCAACTCCACCCTAAAATGGCTCCTTCTCAGTAGACATTACGTACTCTTTTCAATATGAGGCTCTGTTTGTGCACTATCGGGACTGCGTTCTCCATTTTCGACTTTGTCAAAGCTTGCATCATGATGCTTGATGTGTACAATGTGCAAACAGAACTTGATAAAACTTTGAATGATACAGAACAAGCGACATGCAACATCTCCTCATCATCCTGTTGTTTCTTTACTTTCTTCAGGATTCGTGTCCGTCGCCGGCGCCGTAGGTGTAGTCTCAGTCTCCTCCGATGCCTCGGCACCCGTCGCTGTGCCTGGTCGTGGTGATGACGGCCCATCCGTCTTGGCTTCGGCAGCTGAAAGGTCCTCAGCGCTAGCTGAAGGCGCGGCTTCTGATCCATCTGCCGCTGTTGACTCGTCCTTCCCTTCCTCCCCGGCCGTGCTAGTCTGGGCTTTTTCTCTCCTCCGCCTTCTCATGTTCCTCTCCTCTGCCGCAGTCTGTCTCCTCGACTTCCTCAAACTTTCCCTCTTTTCTGCATCATCTTCCGCCCCATCTCCACCCTGGAAGCTTTGCAGCAATGCAGCTGCGCGTCGAGCGACGTCGTCTTCCTCCGCATCGGGAGCCTCCTTTGTTGGTGGTAGGGCATCGGGGCTGACAAGACCGTTGCCGGCGCCGTCGTCGTCCGTGGTCGCGGATGCAGCACTCTTGCCAGTTTGAAGGGCAGCCTCCACCTCGGGGATTTCGTTGAAATCTGGTACTTGTTGGCCTGAAGCGATGCGGACTTGATGTCGGTCCTTGAGACGTGCTCTCCTCCTCCTGTCTCTTTGGTCTCTGGTTTGCGGAGCAGCCGCTCTGAGCTTCTCGAGTAAACTGTCCATCGCCCCCGTACTCGTTGGGCTTGCCGGTCCTTGTGCCTCGCTCGCTTGCAAAGCCTTGAACTGGGCATTCTTGCGTTTCATCGATGCCTCGTTCCGCTTACGCTGCTCTTCCAGTTGAATGTTCTTCTCGCGCGACCTCTTCCACTCCGTGATGAACGACGCCAGCTTGGAAAAGAATTCGCGACGAGCATTGTCGTCTGACGGGTCTTCGCCGTAAAAGACCATGATGTCGTTGTATGTGCGCACCATCTCTTCCAGATACAACTGCATTTGCTCTGCCTTGAACCGAGCATCCTTCATGACCCTCTGCACAATCTGCGACACGCGATCCTGGGGATGGAACTTCTTCGGATCGGAGAGATTGCCTGAGTCAAGAGACATTTGCACGTTCTTGATGTTGTCGATATACCTCTTGGCATCAGCCTGAAGCTGTTCGATGTTGATCTTCTGGGCCGCAATAACGCCCTCAATGTCCTTGGCGAAATCTTCCCACTCTGGGTATTGCTGGCGCACAATACGTTCGACGAGATCCGCAAGCGTCGATTCGTTCTTGTCGTCCTTCACCATACCGAGTCTGGCAAGGGAAGAGAGTTTGAAACCGCGGGCTTGCTTGTTCGCATCGTTCATATAGTTACCGATATCCAAGATGAGGCCGAGTACGTTCATAAGGGACACGGAATCTCTCAAAGATTCGGACACTGCTACAACGGCGCGCATCTTTTCGGTAATCTCCTCGTATTCTTGTTCGAAGCTGCGAGTCAGTGCAAGGGCCCTCATCCTACTCTTCCAGTAGTGATGAAGTTCGAACGCCGTATACAGATATATCTGATCCTGTCTGGTGAGCTCGTTAGGATCCTGTTCTCGGGTATCTTTGCCGGCATCTGGTCCAGTCCAGTCCTTGCTATATGGTGCCATAACTTTGGCAGTGTTATCCGAAATGTTACAAAGATCATCCTTCTGCAGGAAATCCATGACGACGGGGTTGTCGAGCACGTCTTTGTCGCAGTGAATGATCATCTGCACCACCTTCTCAACAGGGAACTGTGAGAATTTGGCAAGCGCGATTTCTGTAAACTGTTAGCGTGACGCTTTCATAGAGTTGTGGCTCATCATCCGTTTCTTACCGAATGCCTTGCGCAAATCGTTGGAGATGATCTGCTTCTTGTCATCCTTCTTGGCACCTCCACCGCCAAGCTTCTTGATCTCCTTCGCCATGAACAACTTCTCAACTTCGTCCAGAATACCCTTCTTGCTGAGCTCATGATACTTTTCTTCCCTCGACTCAGGGGACGGTGTATGTGCCGCCCAGTGCGTTGCCAGTGGCGTGTCGACCTTGTCCCAATGGAAAGCCTTGAGCTTCTTCTTGGGCCGGACGACAGGTAGCCCAACAGAATTGGTCGCGGGAAGCCCGGCGTTCTGTGCCAAGAAGCGGCCCGAAGCAGGACCTGGCATGGGAGGAGGTGGTGGTGGTGGCATACCAGGCATACCAGGCATGGGAGGGGGCGGAGGTGGAGGTGGTGGCATACCAGCCATACCCGGCATTGGCGGAGGAGGTGGCGGCGGCGGCGGCGGCGGTGGACCACCAGCGCCAGGCATCGGAGGAGCAGCACCCGGAAGGCCTCCTGGCGGCGGCGGCGGCGGAGGAGGAGGAGGAGGAGGAGGAGGCGGCGGCGGCGGAGGAGGCCCGCCCGCACCGGGAATCGGAGCTGGGGCGCCCGGGAGGAAGCCAGGGGGCGGCGGAGGCGGAGGCGGCGGGGGTGGTGGAGGTGGAGGGCCCGATGCCGTGGCTGGTGCAGACGGTCCGGTAGCATCGGTAACTTGAATTTTGGGAGTCTCGGTATCGCTGGGTGTGATGGGTGTCTGGGACTCCATGCTGGGATGCGAGGGACCGGTTGTAATACCATCTCCTTCCTCGGAGTCGCTGGCATCGTACCTTTTGACCTTCCCAGTGAGTTCGTTGAACATACCATTGGTCTGCTTGGGGTCCACGACAGGCCTCCTGATCTTGACCACGCGAGGCTTCTCGTACACGATCTCGCCGTCGTCCCCGATCTCGACATCGCTCTCCTCTAGAACGTCCTCGACATGTTCTGACCGGGAACCAACAGGCTTTCTGGGTATTCTGGTCGACCTCTTCACACTGCCAAGCATGCTGTTGGTGAAGTCCTTGGGTGGCACACCCTCCGGTGTGTCGTCGCCAAAGCCATCCATCTCCTCCCGAAGAGCTCGGAGCCTATCCGAAGGGCCGATCACTTCGCCCCATACTCTTCCTTCAAGCTTGAACTGCGTCTTTTGGCGCTCAATCTGCATTTGCAGGCGCTCCAGAAGCCTCTCGCGATCGAGGATGCCTTGCATGCGGGCCACGTCTTCCTCACCAAGCTTAGCGTTGCCCTTGGAGGCGTTGGAGGCAGCTACATCTTGAGCGTCGCGAAGCATGAGGTACAGTTCGCGGGTCTCTAGCTCGTAGCGTTGCGCCTCCTTTGCCCGCAGGGTCTGCAAACTAGCAAGCTCCGACTTGAGACCCTCAGCACGCCTTTTCTGGGCCTCGATGAACATGGCTTGCTCATCAATCTGCTTTTGTAGCTTAGCCACCAAACCATCTGCTCCCAAGGCCAGTCTCTCCTTCATCTCATCCCTCTCCGCCATAGCGGCATCAGCTATCTGCCGGGCTTCGAGGGCCTCATCTAGAGCTTGACGTGCTTCAGAGTCGGTATGGAGCTTATCTAACAGACTTTGAACGGTGAAGTTGAGACTCTGCTTGAGGTCCATGTCCGGCAACCGGCGGTCCATAGCTACGTAGCTGAGCATGGAGTCCACCAGCTGGAACATGCGCAATCTCTCCTCGCCATCATTGTCCCTGATCAACAGCAAATGCTGGAGAGCAGATACAAAGTAGTCCTGTGTCTTGGTTCCATTAAGCCGCTGCTGTATAGCATCTACAATTTGTACCGGGTCGTTGAGGTCCTTAACCTCACCCTCGATACTATCTTTGATGCTGCTGTTCTCACGCTCGAGCATATCCTCATAGTCGATAGCTTCGTTGGAGCGGAACCGCTCGATTTGCTTGTCAATCAGCTCATACTGAAAGGCCTCCATCTTGTTCAGGATACGCCTGATGCCACAGGCCGTAAACTGAGCCCGAATGTGGATGCGCAGCTGCAGGTCCTTCTCAGGGGCATCGACCAACATGTTGACCAAGATGAGGGTAGCAACGGCGTATTCCATAAGCAGATTCTCCATGCCAATGCCACCACTTCGTACCTCCTCACTAGCACCGACCAAACTGCCCATCTTTCCGCGGCCGTCGACGGTGACCTCAACAAGACGCATCCAAGCATCGAAGCGCCCGTTTTCGCCTTGCTGGGCTTTGACGACGTCCATGGCCTCGATGACCTTGACATGGCCCTTGCCTTCGCCCCAATGGCAGAGGAATGTCAGGACTTCGCTGACAAGCTTCCGGGTGGTGAGCCGAGGTGATATAAGGGAGGTGGCCAGAGCCACAATAACCTGTTGGTGAGCTAGCGCATCGTCTGCGCCAAACTTGTTGTTCATAAGAGCCTTCAAACACTTGACAATGTCATATTCTCGGTCCAGGTTCTTATCCAATCTTCCATTATCCGGCTGAGCAGGTCCATAGGCAGTCTTTCGGTTCATCTTTAGCAGGACATTGGTCAAGGCGATCTGTCCCTGACAGTCGATGAAGCGCTTGACCCAGCCGATCTGCTGTGTCCGAAGGTTGACTTCGAGTCCTCCGAGCCCTTTGCTGTCCAGGGCGTTTTCCATGACCTTGCGCACATACCACTCGGGGCTGCCTTCGTCATCGGAAGATTGGGTAATATCGACATTGCTGTATTGGCCAATCTTGGCCGTCTGTCTGCGCTTCTGTTCGCCCTGCCACTCGGTGAGTCGATCCTGGTAAATCAAGGTCCATTTCTTCGCGGCGGGGTATGCGATCATCTGGCGCTTGGCCTGGTCCGGGAGGTTGTGCCATCCTCGCTTTTGCATCAGGTTTATGAACATCTGTTCAATCACATTGTCATCGTCTGGCTTGGGAAAGTTGAATCCTTCGGAGCCCTGGTGGCCGGCAGCGACCTTGGTTAACCGCTGGGTATCTCTGTCCTTGTGGGCATGGGGAGAAAGGTAGGAAGACTGAGACGAAGTACTAGGGAGTCCTATCCTGGATGAGCGATGGCTGATTCCTGGGGCTTCTTGGTAGTGTCCGTCCCTACCTGAGTAGATGCTGGCATTGTCGCCCGAACTGCGGGTTGTCATGTACGAGTGGCCTCTGGAATTGTACCCGGGCAAACTGCTCTCTCTCGGTGGTCCCCATTGCTGAAACTGGGCCTGGCGGCCCGTGGAGGCCATGGTGATGTTAGTGGTAGCGAGAGTTGAGCGCGAACTTGATGCGCTGGGTGACTGCCCATTATAGGGGGAGCTTGGGCTTTGGTCGATGGTAGGATACTGGTGGAAGTCACCGGTGCCTTTGTTTAGGTGGTGTGGTACTAGCTCTCGCCTTAGGGGCATTTGGTCGGGCCTGGGAAGGTGGTCGAGGGCGATGGGGGAGCGATTGTCGGGGGAAACAGGGTCATAGGGGATCGTCGTGACGACCCCTGCCGTCATGTTGAGGCCAGATTCGGGCGTGTCGGGACGGTCCAGCGATATTACAGACGAGTCCCGGTAATGGCGCGAACTGCGTGCGGTATGGGTGCTGACGGCGTCGTTGTCGGCGGCAAGGTATCGGCCACCCTCATCGCTTGCGTTCCGTTTGTCGGCCTTGTTCTTGCCAGTGGCTCTCGAGAAGAAGGAGGAGGCCTTGCCGCTCGAGGAGGTAGCCCTCCCATTCTTGTCGTGGGAGGACATGGCGCGGGACGGGATGTGTGAAGCGGCCGCTTCGCTACCGGCAGGGCAGTACACCAGAGTACAGTCCCAGCAGCGCAAGCTGCCTACGTGTTGTTCGGGGGTGGTTCCTCAGCAATAGGCGAGCGGCTATCGTGGGTATCTAGATCGCTGTAGAGGGGCGTCGAGGGGTGTCGAGGGGCCGGGCCGGGTCGGGTCTCGTCTCGAGGCGCGGAGTGGGTAGTTGTATGGGCAATCAATGCGCGGGTGGGTCAATTGGTAAATGAGTGCGTTGGAATGGATACGGAGCAAATGCCGTCAATGGACTCGGTGTCTGAGGCCCTGGGTGGATCGCATCATGTTCTTTGCGGGCAATAACGGTTGGTGAGCATGGCCTTCCTGCTGCATGAACCGGTGGTGTTTTTAGCATGAGGTCAAGTTGAGGCGTTCGGAGGGTAGCCGTGCCCGGGCAAGCTTTTGCGCAGAGGCGGGCCTCGAGGTAGGCTAGCTGCTAGCACTGCTAGCTGGTGGGATGAGCGCACTCGGACGAGATGTGTATGGATGTGTGCTGACCCAAACTAGACTGCATCGAGACCGTGTTGCCAATACGATCCAGATGGGAAATAGCCCGATCTTCGAAGGGAATGGAACTGAAGTGAAAGTCAAAGGGGTTAAGTCGCAAACGTACGGGCGGGCGCAAATATCCGTACCCGCGTCTGTCCGTGTAGCGTAACCGGCGAAACCTGGAGATACCTAGGTAGGTAGTAGTGTAGGATGTCGTCGACTTCGACTTCTGGATCTCGTGTTGGAAATATCGATGGATAGAGTACTGTAGTTACCTACCTAGTATGTAGTGTACTGTACTGGCGACCTGGCTGACGGCAAGGAGGGGTGATGAGTAGGTAGGAAGGTAGGTTTGCGACACTCACAGCTCGCTCGCTACCAAAAGTGCTAGAGTACTTAGATACGCCGAGGCTGAACTAGGAGAACAACAAAGTCCCGTTCGTTGGTCAAGCTTCGTCAGGGACGGACTCTCCCGTTCGAGGGGTCTGGTGGATTTGGCCCAGGTTGTTGGCGGTACCTAACTTTGGGGTGGAAGCGCGCGCGCGCGTGGGGCACTGGAGGGCCTGTCTTGGACGGGCTTAGTTACCCACTCGGACGAAATTGAAGGTTGATTTGAGATCGGGCGGCAAATGAACGGTGGTCTTCTATGAGCGATGATTGGGAAAGAAAAGGAGCAATGGCAACGACGACGGGTGGAGCGTCGTCCGGTGGTGGCTGGCTCACCCGCGAATTATCAGCTATAGAGACAAGCTCGGGAAAAGGAGAGGCAGAGGCAGATGACCATTCAGAAGTTACAGCGAGACTGAGGTGAAGTGGTTGAATGATGAGCCGAATGAGAGATCACTTGAGAGAGTGAGGTTGGGGTTCCTTGCCGTCAACAACGCTCAGCAATCGCAGGGGCAACTCCAGCATGGCGCGGGAGGGTGCACCGTGCACTAGGTCTGAACAGCTGCACCCTGATGTCTTGAATCACAGGCGGGGAATTTGTTAGTGGTCAAGACGCAGGGACTGTCCGGGTTTCTTCCGTTCTTTCATTTTCCCATCCACCATCCGAAACATCCATCTGATGAACCTAACCGATGGTTCATATAAAGTGATGGAATCACAAATCGGCACCGAATAGGATGAAACTAAAACCTGGAAAGAAACTCAATCAAAGAAGCTTATCAACCGAGTACTGAAAAGGCCGCTGGTCAACCTGAAACGATACGCATAATGGTGATAAAGAGTCACAGTGGTTGTACCCAATGCGAACTTCATCTTCGTATGCATTGGTGGCACATTCAGCGGCGCCATATATGTCCACATTACCATGTGCATACATACAATAGCATAAGTATGTAGGCATAGCGGCTGGAACTATGACTTGGCTAATCCTCCACCTTCCCAAAGTGCCCCTGGTGGGGGCAGATTGATATGATGGAATCACATCGAACTGATATTAAAATTGGCTCATGATCCCTTGCCCAATCATCACCGTTCTATCCGAGTATCATCATCCCTGCGTCTCACTATCCCTACCAAAAGAGGTCAAGATGATCCGAAGACAAAAGAATAAAAGTCCTCAAGCTAGAGGTATGAGCGAGAAACACACATGTGGAGGTCGAAAACTGTATAGGAACAGATGTTGTTGGCTGACAGACATCCTCTGAGATCCCTACATGAGGCCGTTGGATGCCCCTGGATCATCAGGGCAGTTTGTTAGGTTTCTGCATCTCATCAACCTTGAGGGTGTCGTTCCGTTGCTATTTTGGGCCCGGGCCTCGCTCAGTCGGGCCATGCCACAGAGACCCGATACATGGAAGGGCCGGTCCAGGAACGCTACAGGGCACTGTTCCACAACGTCCGGGCTGTCAAGCCCAGGTGGCTACAGTACTGCGCGCGCAGTTAGCGCAGGTACACCTTTCCGCACACGATTACGTACCGCATTTCCACTTGTACCAATGTTACTGTATTATGCAGTCGGTTTGTCGCAAGTGGAACCTCGGTAGGCAACAGGGGCACTTTCGCCGCGGCCACCACATCTGGCTTGTTCAGCCTCATAGCCTTTAATCACAACCTCAAGTCCTCTTCAGCCGAGACTATCACATTCTGTAACTGGACTCGTTGAAGTCCTTGCACGGCAGCGGGCCAGGTTGTCGTCATCATGGGCGCCGACTTTTCCGCGATCAGGGTAAGCAAGACAAAGACATCAGTCACGATTCTATGCTGTTCGTTACCCAGTCACTAACCTCTTCGAACACATATAGACATTAATTGTCCCTGCGATCATAGCCCTGATTCTCTACCTCGTTTTAACCTTTGCCGTCATTCCCATCTGGCAACGATACCGAAACCGCTACAGCCAATATCTTCCGCTCGAGACGATAACCGATGGAGCATCATCCCTGCGTGCACGCCTCACCGATCGCATTACTACATGGTTTATAACTTCGGCGTGGAGGGCCAGACTTCAAGATCGCATCGATGTGGCTGATAACCGCCCAAGTACTGACTTTGATTCGGATGACGGGGAGGAGCTGAACGAAGTGGATGAAGCTCTCAGGAGGGCTCTGGAGCGCCGTGAACAGCCTACAATCGACGATAGCAATAGGAGGCTAAGTAGAGAGTCAGTGACCGTATCCTCCCCCCTCTCAAGCTTCCTGAGGCTAAAAATGTGTACAGTCTGGAACAGGGCTTTCGGGACGATAGCGACGAGGAGATAGATGATCGCACGGGGAGGTAACATGTTAGCTTGGCTAAGGGTATTTACGGCAATGAGCACAATTTCGAGTCCATAGACAACCGACAAAGAAGGCACATGCAGGATCATATTGGAGTAATGGCATGACTAAAACATTGAAGCTACGGGGTTTGACTGGGTTTTCTTGGACATGGTATGTTAGGGGAAGCACGGCAGAGTACATGGTCATGGGAACACTTCCTCGACTTGAGCAGGACCGAGTAATACCATGAGGCGCTACTTTCGAGATTTGTGATCTTGTGTTTCTATTTGCTACCGATGAATACAACCTCTATTGCCATACTTCGGTGTAGCACTTTGACTGACTCAATTCTTTTCAACTCTCTCAAACTGGTGATATATGATTGACCAGCAGCTGGCTTCGCTCGGTGGGATCGACTCTTCAAGACGCCGAGATTCCCTCAACCATTCTGACGAGTGGCCTATATCAGATTCCGACCCTCCACCATCACGGCACATTCCGAATTCCCATATCAGCTCCGGTACATATGACGATCCCGCCTTGTTTACCCACGTGGTGCCCCGGAACAGCGGGTCCGGCATCGTGGGGTTGGTTCCCCCACACGGTCTCGGAGGCTCCACTAAAGTGTATCCCGTCACCGTACCAAAGTTACCGCCCGGTACCATGAGGGGAACCGTTCGCGACTGCCGTTATCCATGATAACGACCAAGATTTGCGGGCTTCCGAAGATCAACGTGGACCGGGACCTGGAGCCAGACGGAGCCTTTGAACCCACCGGCGCAACGAACTTTATGATCTTGAGATGGCAGCAGTTCGTGACCGTCTTGGGCAGCAAATTCACTATTTGTTTTATACACCAGAACGAAAGCTCGTTTACGGATGGATAGGAAAAAAAAAAAAAAAAAAAAACAAGCCGATTGCCGCGCCGAGACACCCTAATGTCCCATCGTTAGTCGCATATGCGGGGCAATTTTATTTTTGTAGCCCGCAACCCGCACTGAATGCCGCCTGTCAGTCTCCGATCTCCGATTTGCGCAAGATTTACCAGATACTTTCTGTCAAACTGAACTTGACATCTTTTCTTCCACGGCCAACTTCCTAACCCGTACCCTTCTGGCATATCAGACTACATATTTCTCTTTCTTTCAAGCTGGATACTTTTGTTTACACTGTAGCATATTTTCTTATCTAACCCCATCTCTCATACGTTTTCGCCCTCACTGGCCCCGTGTACCTGACTTATAAAAAGCGAAGAACGGCCATCCTTGTCCGGTTCCAGTTGTTTCCTTTGGACTCTTTCTTTCTTTGGGTAATCCAAATTCTTTTTCCGCATGTTGGCGCGCCCGAGTCCAAGGTAGCAGCCACAGTATCACCCGGATACACACCCAGGACACCCACACATCGCCCACATAAACCAGAGACAATGACGACACCCCAAGAGCAGGCCATCGCCTTCAAGAACGAGGGCAACAAGGCCTTCGCCGCCCACGACTGGCCCAAGGCCATCGAGTTTTACGACAAGGCCATCGAGCTCAACGATAAGGAACCTACTTTCTGGTCCAACAGAGCCCAGGTTCGTGCTCCTGCCCCCGTCGCCTACGTCGCCTCCCGGACAATCGCGCTTTCTTGAAGTGGTCGCGTGACAACTAACCGCGATTTCTTGCTCCGTCGCATAGGCCCATCTCAAAACAGAAGCATACGGATATGCTATTCGCGATGCCACAAAAGCCATTGAGCTCAACCCGGGCTTCGTCAAGGTACGTCCAAGCCCTTTCTGGCTGACATTGCCGCAGTCTTATCAATCTCTCTGGAGACAAGTCGCAAATGCAAGCAGTAGCTAATCCGAACCCCTCCCTTCTGTCTAGGCCTACTACCGTCGCGCTACCGCCTACGCCGCCATCCTGAACCCCAAGGAAGCCGTCAAGGATTTCAAGACTTGCGTCAAGATTGCCCCCGATAACAAGGATGCCAAGCTCAAGCTTGTCGAGTGCGAAAAGATTGTGCGCCAGCTCGCCTTCTTCGCCGCTATCGAAGTCGGGGATGAGCTGTCTGCTGCTGAGGGCCTCGATGTCGAGTCCATGGCAGTGGATGCTTCTTACGACGGCGTGCGCCTTGAAAAGAACGAGATGACACAGGAGTTTATCGACGACATGATTGAGCGCTTCAAGCGCGGCAAACTGATCCACAAGAAATACGTTTACCAAATCATCATCGCCGTCAGGAACATTGTATATAACGAGCCCACCATGGTTGAGGTGGACATCCCCGAGGATGTGCAGTTGACAGTTTGCGGTGATACCCACGGTTGGTTTGCCCTTGCATGGCCACCTCCGAGCTGATGGTTACTGACAAATTGTGAATAGGCCAATATTTTGATCTGATGGAGCTCTTCAGGTTGAACGGTTTCCCTAGCGATAAGCATTACTACTTGTTTAACGGCGACTTCGTTGACAGAGGTTCCTGGTCGACCGAAATTGCCCTCCTCCTTTATGCCTACAAGTGGTTAAGGCCAAACGGCTTCTTCATCAACCGCGGAAACCACGAGACAGACGACATGAACAGGGTGTATGGCTTCGAGGGCGAGTGCAAGCACAAGTACAACGAGAGGTAAGCGAGTCGAACTCTTTGCGCCCATTCGTTATGCGACATCCTGAATTTTCGAGCACACACCAGCTGACATATCTAACCTTCTTCTCTTCCCAGAACCTACAAGCTCTTTTCGGAAAGTTTCTCGGCCCTCCCGCTCGCCACGTTGATTGGCAAGAAGTTCCTCGTCCTCCACGGCGGTCTCTTCTCGGACGACAACGTCACGCTCGACGACATCCGCAAGCTCGACCGTCACAAGCAGAAGCAGCCCGGTCAGGCTGGTCTCATGATGGAGATGCTCTGGACAGATCCCCAGCCGTTCCCTGGTCGCGGCCCCAGCAAGCGCGGTGTTGGCATGCAGTTCGGTCCCGACGTTACCAAGCGTTTCTGCGACAAGAACGGTTTGGAGGCCATCATCCGCAGTCACGAGGTTCGCATGGACGGTTACGAGGAGGAGCACGACGGAAAGTGCATCACCGTTTTCTCGGCGCCCAAGTACTGCGACATGACGGAGAACAAGGGCGCCTACATCAACATTGGTCCCGATTACAAGTTGAAGTTCTCGCAGTTCGATGCCGTGCCGCATCCCAATATTAAGCCCATGGTGAGTCTTCTTGACCTCTGTGACTGTCGCCACCGTACTGAAGCTAACCCTTTCTCTAGGCATATGCGCAAAGCTCCGTCATGTCGTCGCTGATGTAAAAGTTGGATGTATTTGTATAGCACAACAGAAAATAAAACGGCGTGAATACCTCGGGATGCTGTGTAGATCGGGCATGTTTTGCAAGGAGAACGGTTCTGTCTTGGCTTTCGATTGCATGTGATTAGGCGTCGCGCGCAGGAGTATCGGGGTTATGGTGTTAGGGTTTTTCTTCTTGTCTTGATGATATATGTTCCTTCTGGTGTTATTTGGATTCCATAGTGATGATATCTTCTAGTTTGCCAATCGACAATCTCGATGTTGCCTCGTTCATAACCCCGTCTGCATGGATCCGCGACCTTTGCGTAAAAGCCGAGTCTTCTGTCTTCTCATAGGGGACCATCACAATTATGTACCGCACACAGAGATGGGAGCGAGTAGTCCGTATGACGCTCTTGGAACCTCGTGTACAATCGCTGACCCAGATCATTCGCCGTGAGGGCTGTACCAATTTAAGCTAATTCTTTCTCCACAGAGATGGCCGTTGAACCAGGACGAGTATAGTCATCTCCCTCCATCTTCCTCACATTCCCTTTCCTGAAGCTGCCGTAGCTACAGTCTGGTAAGTAGGTACTCAGCCTCGACCTCTTCCTGCCACAGGACTCTCCTAGCCGTCCAGCCCAGGAGCTCTTCCCATTCACTGCAATCCTCTCTTCCCAACTTCTGGACAAAACGGCCCTCCTTCTCCAAGACAACTGAATTAATCCCTCCCAAGTCTCACACCTCATGTCCTTTCTCAAGCCTCACCCCCAAACTCTCCCTTCCCCCTCCCTCCCCACCAACGCCCCCAACCAATCCCCACACCCCACCACCCTCATCAACATCTGTTCTTCCCCTCCCACATTCTGGCCCGGGTAAGCAGTGACCGCCGCCGCAAAAGCCGCCAAATCCTCCCGAGGCACGCGAACCCAGCACTCGGTGCCCTTGACTAGCAACATGTCGATGGCCAGCGAGGCGCCGGTGTCGCCGAGGAATTGGCGGAGGGCGGTGGTCAGGTAGTGCCGGGCGGTTAGGGTGTCGAGGGAGGGGGTGTTTTGGGAGGAGGAGGATAGGAAGGGGGAAACCAAAGAGAGGTGGGCGTAGGAGAAGACGGGGGAGCGGATGGTTGTTTGGGTGAGGGTCTGGGATTTTGATGATTTGGTGGGTTTGGTGGTGGTGGTGATGGTGGTGGTGGTGGGAGGGTCGATATCCATTTCTGTTGACATTTCGCTTGTTTTGGTAGCGGTGGTAGCGGTGGTGGTTGTGATTGGGAAGGTAGGTTCGGTTAAGTTGGTGATTTGAGATTGTTGTTGCTTCGCTTTAGCACTCTTTTTTTTTCTCTGTTATTTCCTCTTTCTTTTTGTATGCGAATGGAATATCAACGTTCCGAACGCTAGTATCGATGAGATGTGATCAGAGTTGAGATTGAAGTGACTGCTTTGGAGTTTGCATAGCTAGGAGTAAGGATGATAGATTCTGTGAAGTTGTAAGTGGAAGATTTCGAGTCGCGAGCGGTTTGCGATCCGAAATGAAAAGTTTCGAACTTTTCTGCATTCAGTTTCATCTGAACTACAACATCTGATAATTTCGACATTACCCTTCCACATATTGGAATTTCAATCAACACATTAGACATCTCGAATTATTCCTTTTCAAAGGTCAGAAACATCCTAGCTAGCTGCATCCAGGATAAGACATGCTGCGATGATGTTTGCATACGTCTGTCTGCTTTTACACGAGATTCTGTTGTATGTACCAATCAGGGACCCACCTCGATACACGCATATCGCTGATAACCACACTTGTCGTCTGGGCAGTCGGTCTGTACTGAGCTTTCCACTCCCCTAAATGCCTATCAAATGAACAAGCTGGACTAGAGACAGGGAAGAGGGTGTTATAGGTCAACAAAACAACATCCACATGCTCTTCTATCCCCGACCTTCTGACGCTCGTTCATCGTGATGGCCATCACAGTGAATCGCCTCAGACTCCCACCAGGCTAACGCCATCTTTATTCAAGGCATGCATGCATTGCTATTGCTTTTTGGCGATCCTAATCCCCACTACGGCTTCTCAAACGGCCTACTTTGCACCCCAACTTTCGTGGCCTCGAGGACAGCCTGCATTCTCCCTCCTTTATTGTAACGCTTTTTGGAGTTCCACTTCTAGCAGTACGAGCGCTATTTATCACATGTCCTCGAGGACCTATTCTGGTCGTCTCAATGTCGTTCCATCATCTTCGCTAGGTCCATAACTCTCACTAGAGACCCAAGTGGGCATTCGCTGTCACACCCATAGAGGTGATTCGGAATACCCTTCCTCAGATTTAGAGGTATTGTCCCGCTCACCCCTATCAGGCTTATTACTACTGTTCCCCTCATCCCCGTTGGGCCTATCACCGTCATACCCATCAGATGTACTGCACTCTTCTTCCTCCGAGTTACTCCTATGGCTTCCGGCATGGCAATTATCAGAGCTTTCTACACCAGGCGAAAAACTCTATCTTCGCGCATATGCATCGCGGTCTCGACCTCGATCGCGGTCACGGACCGGGGATCTGCTGCGTGTTCGGCTCCTCGTCCTGCTGTCCCGGCTCCTAACGTCATATTCTGGCCGTCTTCTATCCCGGTCCACTCCACCTCGCCTGTCATCCCAGTCATCACGGCGGCGCCAGTCCTCTCGGCGCGGCGCGGGTCCGTCGCGGTCGTAGCTGGGGATGTAAGTGTCTACGTTGCTCGGACCACCTCCCCCTCCGGGCGGTCCACCGGGACCTCTACGTGGTGGACGGTCACGGTACCCATCGGTGTGGTCCATCGGCCCGCTGCCATGGTAGTCTGCGGGCATCGGAGGTCGTGGAGGCAATCCCCGTGCACTATGCCACGAGGGAACTCGCTCGTCGCCTGGTGGGGGACCACGGTGGTATGGCGGGTATCTGCCGCCGTTTGCCCCATTACGACCACCACCGCCGTAACCATCCCTACCGCTAAATCCGGTATCTGGGCCTTGGCTATTAACAACAGCCCCGCGGCCCACTGTGCCTCCCTTAGGCGCAGGCGGCAATGCCGCTTTCCTGTCTTGAAACTTGCGCCTGTCGAATTCGTGACTCTCCTCGAAAGTTGGTAAATCGCCAGGTAGAGCTGGTAGTGGCGCAGTCCGGAAATATGGGTGGTTGAGAGCATCAATCGCGTTGATGCGTGACCTCCAGTCAAGCTTGAACAGCTCCTTAAGCAGCGAAATAACCACGGGTCCGTGCTTCTCAAATCTGCGTGCCAGATTTCCTGGCCTAGGCTTTGACGAGAATGCCTGGCCACCGGGTAACGTCCTCCATCCCGGCATCGTCTCCTCAGATGGTGTTCCGCAGAGGTCCCAAACAAGCTCTAACTGGTGAAGATCGCTTTCGCCCTGTAGGACTGGCTTTCCCTCCAGCATCTCTGCGAATACGCATCTGTAATGGTTGTTAGCATGAGCGAGAGCGCATCTAGGGAACAGGTCTAGTCTTACCCAACACCCCACATATCTATCGCTGTGGTATACCTTTTGAGATGCATCAGAAGCTCGGGAGGGCGGTACCATCTGGTCACCACCAAGCTAGTGTAGTCACGCTTCCCCTCGCCGCTTCCCTTCCCGGGTTGGGGAATGTCGCCCTCGTAATGCCTTGCTAGACCAAAGTCGGCAATCTGTAGTACACCCTTGTTGTTGATGAGAAGATTGGCCGCCTTCATATCTCTGTGCAGAATGTGGTTCGCGTGCAAATACTTGAGACCTTCTAGCAACTGCAGCAAGTAACATTTGACTTGTGGTTCAGTGAAGCGAACTGACGGGTTATCGAGCAAGCCGGATAAATCGTGGTCCATGTAGGGTGTGACCATGTATACGATAGGTCTTGTTCGCTTGTCGGCTGATGACGGTGTTTGCTTTAGTAAGGGCCATCGTCATTGTAGCTCATGGCAGGTTGACCTACTTCTGGGTGGATGCTCAATCGCCATCTCCTCTAGGCGCAAGACGTTTTTGTGCGAGAGAAGCTTGAGCAACTTGATTTCTCGAAGAGCGGTGATGGGGAACTGATGGACAAGTCAACGTTAGAGACCGTCGAAACCAAGACCGATTCGAAGGGCAAGCGCGGTGACGAACCCCATCTCTCTCGTTGTGCATGATGATCTTTTTGAGTGCGACCAGGGCGCCCGTTTTCCTCGACCTTGCGCGGTGAACCTCACTGCGCAGGATAGTGTCAATAATCGCAACGATTGCTCGGGGGAGACACACAATGAACACATACCCAAAGGTACCCTCGCCCAGTTTACCCAGGACTTCATAGTCGGCAATCCTAGAGCAGCCCACGAAGCTGCCCCTGTCCCTCTGGTGCGCAAGCGCAAAAGCGCGAGGAGACATGGCAGCGCCTCCGCCGCCCTCCTTTGCCTCGTCGATGCTCATCGTGTAGCAATCCTCTTCTTGTTTGTATAGATCCTTTTGGGCGACAATCGCTTAAAGTTGAGGGGCCGAAGGCCAGTGTTGTGTTGGAAGCTGCGGGACGTTGTTTGGCTTCGTGTATGGATATCGTCGGCGTTTGGTTTTCCAGTTGCGAAAGCAGAAGGGAAACAGGAGGATGGAAGGAGTCCTCTGTCCCTTTGCGCAAGCGTCGGTTGCCCTGTATCTGCCGGCTATTGGTGAGTTACCTGGCAGTTTGTGCTGTCAGGTGTAAAGCAAAGACATGAAGCGACATGCAAATTTGCCGGTTGGTGTTTGGGGGTTCGCCTTTAGTTTTCATTCTTGGACTTTGTGATATATTCGGCTGGAAGGGAACAAAATGCCCCGTCGCCTTCACAAGACTGGAGGCGCGCTCTACCTACCCTAGTAGTGGCAGGCCGGCCCTCGTATCGGGTCCATGCTTAGCGTGTATACAATGCACGAGCCCACAGCGGAAAGTACCCCAAATCCAGGCCGTAACCGTAGCGGTACCTCTCAACGAAGCTTCCACAGGGCAGTTCTACCCGCCCGTACCTAGCGCGTCTCCAAGGAAGCGACGGGAACCTCGAGCGATACAAAGCCGATGGGCGGGCAACCTAGAGGTACCGCTCTATGCAGACCATGACGTCTCCAAACTCATCGCTTGTACCTTCGTACCCTTTATCCCTTCCACAAGTGACAGCAAAATCTGTAGCCTCAGAATTCAGGCAGCCAATGATTGAGAACCTCAAAAAGGTAGAGGTACCTCGCTACTTACAACCACGCATCCTCCAGTGGTAGCCCCAGGTGGTCAGGATCCCAAAGGACGGACGACTCCATCTCCGGTCTCCCCCCATCGTCGCAAAACCCACGCCCTCCCGTCAGAACCACAAGGTGAGAGCTCCACCACCACCACCAACCCACCTGGATCATGTTTGTGTGAATGCGCAATTGAATAACTAACAAATATCAAATTGTCCTCGGGAAAAAAAGGGCTACTGCATATTCCACACAATGGCAGGCGATGGAGAATTCGAGCGAGTCCCTCGCCCCGATAACTACCCTCACGGGCCCGAGTTCCAGCCGCGCACGCTGCACCAGAGGTTGCAAGGGAAATGGTGGTACCGCGTGCCTCCCAACCACAGCAAACCCATCTACCAATTTCTGAGCATTGGCCTTGGTGCATCGATGTGGTTCTGGGTAAACTTCCTTGTCATCACGAATCCTGCGTATCCCGGACAAGTAACTGACTCGTGCTCGCCCTATGCGTTTACCAGATCATGTACCGGGCAAAGAAGGACGGGGCCGTTCTCCTCGGCTTGAAGCACCCTTGGGATCACTGAAGGAATGGTATCGACGCGAATCTTCAACGACGTGGAAGTGGCCATAAGGACTGCGTCAAGACTTCTACGAAGCGACATGGTGGCTGGAACAGAACATCATCGACTGGAAGGGAACTGGACCAACAGAACAGGTATCGGCCCGTACAACAGAAGGGCGTCATCATCAGGCATCATTCATCAGGTCTGAAGCCAGGCCGCGATTCGCGTCAGAACAACAGTCAGGCGCATCTTGAATGAAATAACTATATAAAGGGGAAAGATATGAAGTGTGATCTCTATGTACGCCATGCTAACCTTCACCAATCATTCATGGGAACTTCTGACCATGTTGACCTTCACACACTCTCAAGTTCTGGCTTCAAAGGGCTAGCAAGCCGAACACCTGCATTGCCATATCTGGCTTTTCGAACAAAGCATGGGTGACCCCCCACGTGTCGCCTCCGTCCGTCTTGAACATTTCCGAGCTGGCCAGGTGGAAGATCTGCCAACGGTTGTGCCAAACGACGGCCTTTTCCTCGCCGTATGTCTCTGCCAGGTGCGGCATCATCCTCTCCTTTCTGGCCATGGTGTTCGCGAGCCAATGCTGTGTGAAAGTTGTATGTGTTAGCCCCTGTCTCGGATCCAAATGTACATGTTACGCTGTCTCAAAGCATCGAGGGGACCGAGTCGGTATTTTTACCTCGAGAGACTTCGAGTAGTGGTATCCATTGATCCACCAGTGCTTCTTGATGACCAGGTCCTTCTGGAAGTACAGAAGGAGATCTGATGAGGGCATGGTTCCTCCAGTGAAGAAGGTGCGTGCCATCCATCCATCCTCGTAATGGTACGGCGTCGTACGGTGGCAGAAGTGGTGGACGAGAAGCTGGCCACCGGGACGAAGGGCTCTCGACATCTTGGCCATCAGACCTTCGTAATTCTTCATGTGCTCGAACAGCTTTAGGGCCTTCATGTCAATCACTACTTCTTAAAAGTATCTTGGAGAAAACCCCAATTGATTGCTCACCTCGACGGACAACGCCCGGTCGAAATAGTCGCGCTCAAATTCATAGTCGGTACAATTTCCAGTGATGATCCGAACGTTCATCAGGCCCAACTCCTTTGCCTTAGCGTCGATGTACTCCTTCTGAGTGCGTGAATTGGAGAAGCCTACGACCTCCATGCCTGGGATCTTCTCGGCGAAGTACAAGACGGCAGCTCCCCAACCGCATCTATGACTGGGTTAGGCTCTTTCTTCTTCGTGCTTGCAACTCATGCGTGGAATGTTTAGTCCGATTTTCATGAGTGATAGTGAACTGACCCGAGATCCAGGAACCTCATGCCAGCCTCCAAACCCAGCCTCTCGATGTAGAGGTCAAGCATCTTCTCCTCGGCCTCTCCCAATGACTCATTGCCGGTGGGGTAATATGAGCAGCTATACTTGATCCTGGGACCAAGCATGTTCGCCATGATTCCTGTGGCGATCTCGTAGTTTTGTCTGTTTGCGGCGTCCGTCTCGATAGCGATGGGCTGATGGCGAACAGTCTCGAAGAAGTTCATCTTGTACGCCAGAGTCTCGGACCAGCGCGAGATGGGAGCAAGGACGCCCGGGAGAAGAGCAATCTTGGGCGAAGCCATTTCTTCGAGTTTGGCTTTCAGGCTGGGATTGCCCTTGGCAGACACTGTGGCGATGACCTTGTCCGGAAAGGGAGGAGTGATCTCATCGAGGCGACGGCGCAGCTCCCTGCGGATGAGCACGCGAAGGACAGCATGCGGGAGGACACCGCTGTCCAGGATACTGTCGCACCAAGTGTCATTGAGGTTGTCGAGAAGCTTGCCTACAGGAACCCCTGTCAGATCGGATCTCCTAAATCCACATATGTGATGAACAGAATGTCAGCATGTACTCACTGATAAAGGGGAACATCTCGTCTGGTGCTGAACGTTGGTGTTAAACAGGATGCTACAGTCCGTGTGGACGCTGGACGGTGGACGTGTCCTAGAGGGAGAGTGAGGCGTGAGTGGGAGATATCCTCTAGGTGTGCGCGCGACGAGCTAAAAGAACGAGTGGGTGGTAGTTGCTGCTATGGCAAAGACATAACCGCGAGTATTTTTCCTTCCTTTTTTTTTTTTTTTTTTGGAGGCAACGAGGTTTCTATAGGATTTTGTTGTGGATGCTCGAATGTGTTGCTGGAGGAAAACAGAAAGAACGAGGCAGGACTGCTCAAGGACTGAGTTCTTGATAGATGGACAAGTGCGGTGAGTAACGCCTTCCAGTCTTCTGGATTGGCCACTTGTGGCTTCCTTTCAACGGAAGGTGCGATGAAAGTACGAGATACTACCGCCCAGCAATCGCGGCCGCAAAACGCGTTGTTTGGAACGGGAATGGTAACAGTTGAGCAAGTTAACGTGTCTCATCATGTTCCTTCCCGGGCGGGGAATGCGTCGTCTTTAGAGGCAAGCACTCAACACATGATTATGAAGAGTTGGGATGGGATGGCTTGGGATGGGTCTAGACTCGAGGTCACAAAAAGCTGGGATAAAACAAAGATGAGCACACGGTATTGCGTAGAAGATCCTCCAAAAACAGGAGCGCTTCGGATAGGGTATGATATGGGCCGTGATTACAAGGTGAACGCGGATATAGTCGAATCTTTGACTAGATACGCTTGCTTGGAGCCTGAAAACTCACCGGGGCACGAAGACATTCCATCCATGCCTGAAACGCCTCGGCGCCGTCCAGGCCTACGCTCGTATATACAAAGTGTCAAAAGTGGGAGAGTGACGACATCCCTCAGTTAGCAGATCATCCTCTCCAAGATGACCTTATACTCCTTCCTCTTCTTGGGCTCTCTGGTCAACGACTGACTGGCCTTTCCAATCAAGCGCGCAAGCCGTTGGAACATGACGTGCTCGCCAACCCAAGCCAGAACAAAATACATGATGCCCAGGGCAAATATGAACATCTTAAAGTCCCAGCTGATGGGAGTAAGGTCCATCAGACTCACCAGCCCGGCAGCCGGGCCGAGGATCATGTATCCCGTGAACGCAAGAGTGGCAGCAATCGCAGCAACGAAGGGCCCTGTGAACAAAGGTTAGCGTATGTGATTAGGTAAGTGACAGTCAAAACTTGAATGGGGGGAACGTACAGTTGTTCCAGGGAGGTTGCCTGAAGGGCCTGCCCGCATTGAGAACCACACCTGCGAGTATATACTCAAAGCAGGACGTCAAAAAGAGAGCGGTATTTTCAGAATTCCGGATGTTGACCTTCTCGTGTTCTACCTTGGGTGGGATGAACCAGGGTTGCTCGCGTACAGCGATGAACGCCATAGTTTGGATAAAGATGCAGATAAACATTTGTCCAAGAAGTGGCACCAACACCTTGCGAGAGACCAGGTCGGCCGTCGGTCTCTTACGACAGAGCTCTGGGAATGGGCCGGCCCAGCTCATAAAGACGGCGATCGGTAGAATGAGGGCCAAGTCAATGAACAAGAACTGAAAGTCGCCCAGATTCGATGCTGACGCGTACAGGAAGCTGACTGACGTGAACTGGATGGCTGAGTACAAGCTCATGTACTTGAAGCAACTAAAGCTGGTCACAAGCGCGGCTCGGCCTTCGCGAATCACCTCTGGGACGCAGCGGATGTCGAACACTCTGGATGTGAAAGGAGCGGCCACCGATGCCTCAGCCTCGGAAAGTGAGATACCGACATCGGCGGCCTTCAAAGCGCCGCAGTCGTTGGCGCCGTCGCCACAGAAGCCACAGCAGTAATCTATGCTCTGCAATTTTTCAACAAGCTCATGCTTCTCGTCGGGAGACATGCGAGCAAATACCTTGCCAGCGACGAGCATTCTCCGCATAACTTCTGGAGGCGCATAGTCAATCACCCAACGGAATACATCGCCGCTGACAGCCAAAGAATAGTTCCGTAGGTTAGAAATGTCGTATGGAAGAGAGACATCTCCCTCTGGCGGTGGTGGTAAGGGGAGCAAGGTGCGGTCGTCCAGCTGGTAAATCGGATTGTCGATGCTCTCCCATTGTAACTTGGCGTTAGGGTCTCTTGAATGACCAGCGACAAAGCGACCAACGAAGCAGTGAGCTGTTTTGTTAATCAGGCTGCACTCCCGCGCAACGCTGATCGCAGTAAGAATGTTATCTCCAGTCACCATGACCGATCCGATATTCGACTCGGCGAGCTCTTTCAAAACCGGGGCCGTTGCAGGCTTCAACTTGTTCTCGAAGATGATAAATCCGACGAAATCCAGATCTGATTCGACGTTATGCCGCGTCATTTTCTGTGCTTTTACCCAGCTGAGTTTGGGAATGTGCTTGGTAGCGCAGCCGATAACTCTGTATCCCTTGTGCGTATAATAGTTGAGTTGATCATCATAGTCCGCGGGAACTAAGAATTTAAAACGCGTCAGTAACTTTCAGGGCCGATCATTCAAGACTCGACCTACATGATTCCGGCTTGCAAATGTCTCGCATGCACTCTGGCGCGCCTTTGACGAAGATGTCTCCGCTCTTCTGGCCAAACGTCTTAACTATAACACTTGCTCTTCGAAGCTGAGACACAAACTCGAAAGACTTAAGAACACCCAGCTCGAATGGTGCACGCCCGTTTTGCGCAGCATCTTGCCGGTCGGCATCAGTGTAGCCCTTGTCTACGGTTGGGGGCCTGGCGATGGATGGCTGCAACGTTCCTTGCTCTTCCCCATCCGTCGCGCCTCCTCCCTCGTGTCCTTCTTCAAATGACCATCTCGTGAACTCGAACATCTTGAGATCCAGGGGATCACCAACAAGCTCATCATCTATTGACCGGAGAGAGTGGCACGTAGCCATCGTGTACAGTGCCGCCTTGAGCGTATCGCTCGAATCTCTGATTCCGGTTCCGTGATCTTGACGAGGCACAAGATCGTCTGGGTTGTCAAGGATGTCGCTAAACCGATTGTTGGTTCGATCAACCACCCGAACTCCGAGAACATCAAGGCCTTCCTCAGTCAGAGTTCCTGTCTTGTCAAAACACATAATGTCTAGTTTTCCACCGACATTGACCCGTTGTGGGCTGATACAGAAGATCTTCTTTGACTTAAGACGGCCGAGTGCGAAGTTTGTACCAATGGTGAGTGTTGCAGGCAACGCAGGAGGGACCACGATAGTGATCAGATCCAAGGCCCGAACAATGATGAGATGCCATGACAGGTTGAGCCGTATAAAGTTGATGAACGAGGCTGCAAACCCAACCATTGCAACGCATGCCATGACAGAGATATACCGGAACGAATCGCGGTAAAACTTGAAGCCCGACGGCTTAGGGAAAAGCATGGACCGAACCAAAGCTCCTTTGGTGGTGTTAAATCCCGTTCTGACAACAAGAGCGAGGGCAACAGCCTCTTCATTGTGGTCATCTTGAGGCCTGCGAGCACGGATGATCTTTGTCCCGCAAAACAAGAAGTGTTTCGCCACTTCTGGAAGCACGGTAGAGGCACCAAGGTCCAAATTCCGGAGCGACTGATCGGTTGCCGGGGTCTTGGAGACTGGCACAGATTCACCGGTGAGCATGCTCTCGTTAACGATGCAGTCGCCGCCAAGTAGAAGACTGTCCGCAGGAAACTGGCCGAGACTCGGATCGCTGACCTCGTAAATGTCACCAGGTACAAGGTCACTGGAAGAGACGTGGCGCCCTATTGGTGTTAGCAGCTTGCAAAACCACTCGGAAAGGGTGTAGTCTCGAACTTACAAAAGCCATTCCTGAGCACCCTGACGTCGCATACAAACCGGGAAATTTCCCGTAGCCTCTTCATTGTCGATTTGGTTTCAATAAGAGTAGCTACAATGCTGCCAACTGACATGACGAAAATAGCGACGGCGTAATAGTAGTACTCATCAACTGACCATAATATCAAACTGGCAATCTGGAACACATAGAAGGGGTGGAAGACCTTGGAGTCATAATGTCAGCTCGTATGCGCCGCAACGACATGAAGAGGAACACCTTACCTCGTCGGCCAAGAGGCGGAAAGTAGACTTTTCCTCAATGTCGATTAGATTCCCCCCAAAGACGGCATCTCGATGGCTCTTCTCGTCGCTGTCGATACCAGAGCGAATGGTTTGGACGTCTGTCCAGAGCGGATCCTTCCAGCCATTGCAAAGAATGAACTTATCCTTGAGCGGGTGGTAGAAAAAGCGCACATAGCGGTAGTTGAGCATGCGGAGGTCCTGGAGGATTGGGTCATAGTCTTCATCCAACGAATAGTTGGCCAGTTTACCCGGGGTTCCGAAGACAGTCGAAAGGACACGTCCATAGGGCTTTGAGTCAACGTTAAGGATGGCCATCTCGTTCCATGAGTTTTCAATAACCACCCACTGACAGTCCCGTAATGAAGATGGTCGTCCGACCAGCTTGACGTGCCATCTGGGTACCCATCGAAACAAAAGCCAGCCCAGTCCAAAGGTTGATAAACATATGAGGATGTACACAGCCAGGCCGAGAGTGCTCGTGCGGAATCCAGCAATGGCGATATAGAGATCTTCGTTCACCATGTATACTTTTTGGCTGGTACGGTTTCCTCCATGCCCGCTGCTTGCTGATAAACCGCTGTCTCTGCGCAGAATCCTGCTATGTCCAGATCTCCTTGACTGAGTTGAGGACCGTCTGTTCAGCATGTAATCGTCGTCTGGAGCTTGGCGCTCCAAGTCTGATGAACCCATCTCTGATGCGCCAACGTCGCCTTCATAGTCATCTTCAAACGGTAGTTCGTCAAGGTCTTCGACCGATGCGACCTCGCCTGTCTCGAAATGTTCGTCGATGTCTTCTTGGTAGAAGGAGAAGCTAGTGGTGGAATCGGCGCGAGCTCGGCGGTGGTTGAATGCGGACACGCTAGTTGGGAGCGACTCTGCCATAGGACCAGAGTAGAGCTGTTGCCGCGAATGTCAGATACAACACAAACTGCACCACGAACACGGGGGAAGAATGCGTACCTCGTCGTGTGCCATCTCGACATCCTCAAAGATGCTCGCATTGCTCTGGTTCGAGCCCAAGGTGTAGAGGCCTGGACGGTGATCGTGACTGGCGCGCCGGCGGTCAAAAGACTGCGATGACCGCCAGCTAGCGTGGTGGGCATCATTGCCGCCGTTCATGTTGGCGCTATCCGTCGGTGTTGTTCCGAAGTTAACCCTATGTATGAGCTCAAACAATTTTTAATAAGTGACTTGCACGCATCGATATGGATATGCAATTGGGGAATGTCCAAGTAAGAATTTGAGATTCTTGCCGCGACCCAGTCAGTCGTCCGAACTTGTAAGCGCAGATCTGTTTGGGAAGGTGATACCGATAAGAACATGACGTCGGTTTGTTTCGCTTAGTACGAAACCTCGAATATTGCATAGTACTATACGTATCGATTGATACACAATGTCGCTGGAACAGACTTGATCTAGCCGTTTCAGACTTTCAAACATTTTTACGCCAAAGCCGGCACTCTTCACACCTCCCTCACGATCAACCAACAATGTTGGCTTGCCGAAGACAAACCCTTTCCATGGATTATCGAGGGAAGAAGCAACCAAATACCAATAACATGTGAAATCCTAAGGGACAGTCTCCCATAAAGGTATCCTTTGCTTGACCACATGGTTACACAAAACAAGACATCAAGGTTCACATTAAATGTGGAAGCGAAGGACAACTATGTAGTAGTGCTTCTTGCGATCGCATAGATAACCTCCACGATACTTCCCTTACCAACTTGAACATTCAAGTGAGTGGATCAGGCTTTCCGCACGATGACTGGAGATGGGAATGATGGACTTCAGCTAGAATACTCTTGTCTGACTTCTTCACATTTGTTGACCTGGACGCCGGAGTCACGGAGAAGGATCGGGGCCAGACCGTCCCAACGGGCAGTCAGCAAGTGGGGCAGTCACAGGCATGGGATTTTTCTTTCAACACTGCCCGCCAATCGAATGCCAAGCATGTCCGCTAACGCTTGCCTACTTACATACACTACATACCTCTAGCCAGAAAGGTCGATGGCGGAGATGGGGGTCGCTATCCACGATTTTCACGATAAGCACAGTGCAACAAGGGTCGTTCTGGTCCAAACCTAGGTTGTCGGCATCAGTTCGCGATGGAGATTCGTGGGCATCGCGATGATCACTTGGCAGATGCCGCGAAACGGTCTCACTCGCTACACTACAACGTGAGAAAACGTGCTACATACGTGCCCGTACGTGGTGTACTGGGGTCACTGCAGCATCTCACCTGGACTTGGACGCCCACGACGGTCTACGGCCATGATGGTTCAGATCGGTCCGATGATGGTGGTCGCTGAACCCAGCGTCGACTCATAAGTCATAAGCAGAAAAGTGTGCGTCAAGTTGCCTCTGCTGATGAGGTTTTGACTTGCTGAGGACAGAGTGAATCACCAGAATTTTCAAGTTTGCCTTCCAAAACCTGCCCGTCTCTGGAGGCCTAATTGAGTTGAGAGTCTTTGCACGTTAGAAGTAAATCACCGCAGCCCGACGCCGGTGAGAAGGCGAGATGTAAACACCAGTCCAATATTAACAGCACGCAGTTCAGACGAAAAGCAACTTCTAAACTATCTTGCACTTATGAGGTACCTTGTAGCTGGTGTATATGAAGCCGGCATGTCACCAATATCATTTACCCTACATCATGTCTCTGGCCGGGATCCCTGGCGAGAACGCTAGCACGCAAGACACGCCAGCCAAATGCTGAAGCATGTGGTGCCAGGAAGCGACGCGCGACAACCTGGAAATACACTACCTGAATGCGATGTACATGAACGGGCTTTGTACGATAAGAACAACAATGGCATGTTTAGGTTCATCTGGCTAGACGTAGAGGTAGGTACCTGAGGGGATTTTCAGTTCAGACGAGCAGACCGGGCATGCAATGGCCGAGTGTAGAGTCAAACAAATGACAGGAGGAGCTTGACCCTAAAAAGACGTGACCCGTGACAAATGGGCACCTTGCCTTTGCTGGAATAGAATTGAAGGTCAAATACCTCTAGGTGGTGTAGGGCAAGCGACAAGACTCATGGGCAGCAAATGGAAGTAGCGGACTGGGGCTGGGTGGTCGCCGGCGCAGTGCAGGCATCATGGAGTGGTCCAACGGGGCGCCTCCCGCTGCAGTGCCCTCGACCCGACTGTCCTGCCCGCACTGGCCAGTGCCCCGCAAATTTTCATAGCAACCCCATTGATAGCTTTTCTCCCCTCCCGGTCCCCTCCAGACCCGACCCTCGCTCAACATTTCTTGCACTGCTGCACAACAAGCCTTCTCTGCCTGGACCGACCGGCAACCACAGAACTTTTTGCCTTTCCCACCAGCACCGGGGCCCTTTCATCAATCTCAACACCCGACCGCTTCTTCAATCCAAATTTGCCCTTCCTTCTCCCATTTCTCCCTCCGACATCCACTGTACGTCGGTCGCAGGGTTCTACCACCGCTTCCTTCTCTGTATCCCAACTCATTTCCTTCTCTTGACCAGAACCAGACACAATGGCCGAGCCCATCAGAAACAAGCGGGCTGATCCCCCCATCGCTCCGTGAGTTTTCATCCCCAGACTTGATGGGATGCCCATCCCGAGTATCGCGTACCGTTACTGACCAGCCTTCGCTTCAGCACCCCCCAGAACACTCCTCTTAACACTGCCCCCATCTCGTCGCACGCTCAGCAGCCCGGTGTTGCCAGCATCAAGGAGGGTGAGTGAAGATTCTTGCTGTTGCCGAGACTTTGGTAGTTTTCTGGGCTTATCGCTAAACTTACTGTTCGTTGCAGAGGACCTTGACCGTGCCGCCGCCGCTTCCATCTTCGCCAAGGACCCTAGACTTGTGTCCCTTATCCAGGGCCGTCTCGGCTCTCTTGTCGGTCGTTCGTCCGGCTACATTGAGTCTCTCCCTACCGATGTCAAGCGTCGTGTCGCTGGCCTGAAGGGCATTCAAAAGGAGCACTCCAAGCTCGAGGCCGAGTTCCAGGAGGAGGTCCTTCAGCTCGAGAAGAAGTACTTTGCCAAGTTCACTCCTCTTTACCAGCAGCGTGCCGCCATTGTCAACGGCCAGACTGAGCCCACTGAGGACCAGGTCCAGGCCGGTGAGGAGGATGAGGAGGATGATGAGGAGACCGAGGCCGCCCCCAAGGAGGAGAAGGCTACCGAGTCTGCCGAGAAGGTTTCTGGTATCCCCGAGTTCTGGCTCTCTGCCATGAAGAACCAGATCTCCCTCGCCGAGATGATCACCGACCGCGACGAGGAGGCCCTCAAGTCCCTCACCGATATCCGCATGGAGTATCTCGACAAGCCCGGATTCCGCCTCATCTTCGAGTTCGCTGAGAACGAGTACTTCACCAACAAGACTATCACCAAGACCTACTACTACCAGAACGAGAGCGGCTATGGTGGCGACTTTATCTACGATCACGCCGAGGGTGACAAGATCAACTGGAAGGAGGACAAGGATCTTACTGTCCGCGTTGAGCAGAAGAAGCAACGCAACAAGAGTGAGTTGCAGTTCCAGCTCGAATTTTCTCAAACTTGCTCACTAACAAATTGCACAGCCACCAAGCAGACCCGCATTGTCAAGAAGACCGTTCCTACCGAGTCTTTCTTCAACTTCTTCTCCCCCCCTAAGGCCCCCACTGATGACGATGAGTCCACCACCTCGGATATTGAGGAGCGTCTTGAGCTCGACTACCAGCTCGGCGAGGATATCAAGGAGAAGCTTATTCCCCGTGCCATCGACTGGTTCACTGGCGAGGCCCTCGCCTTTGAGGAGCTCGACGAGGAGGACTTCGAGGACGCCGAGTTCGATGATGAGGATGACGAAGATGATGAAGATGCCAGCGAGGACCAGGATGACGAGGATGAGAGCGATGAAGACGATGTAAGACTTTCTGAATTTTCCCCAACACATGCTATGCTGTTCAGGTATGCTGACAAATTTCACAGGAGGACGGGAGCAAGCCCAAGCAGGAGGCTGCTGAGTGCAAGCAGAGCTAAATGCTGATCGCTGAACGAACACGAAAATGATACCACTATACCACGCAGGCAAGGGGCAGAACGCCCAATGACATTTGGCGTCTGAGTTCCAAATTATTGAGGGTCATGTATGACCGCACCGGGGTGGCCGTGGGCTCAGGAAGAACAGGAGTTTGCGGATGGCCGGAGCTTGTGGTGGATTGATAACCATTCTACGGAATTTGAATTGGTCACATGAGGAGTTGGCTTCAGCACCTGCCTTGACGCTGTGGTTGTCTCTCATAATTCTTAGCAGGATAGTTCGTCCTGACCCCTGAAGCAGTGGCATGTCAGAGCGCAAGGATGGGAGCAGATATGCGAACTAAGCCGGAACAAGGGTCGATTTGTGCGTAAAGGGATGATATTATACGGGACAAAAGTAGTGATTCTACGAGGATTTAGGTGTTGATTTCATAGTACAGCATTGCAGGTGTTTCCACATCACAAACCGTCATCCATCAGCGTGACTCGATGTAGATTGTCTATGTCAAGTTTAATAGGCCACGACACCAGAGGGCGGAGGACTTCTCCAGGGAGTTCTCGGATGGATGTAAGTCGTCATGACCCTTGTTAGCCTCGCGTGATGTAGATAGAGTAAACCTCAACGGACGAAAGAGTAGCCGAGCTGAGGCAGTGCGTGCCTGGAAGGCCATAAGGACGGGAGCTGGGCTTCCGGAAATTTAGTAGGCGATGTCTTTACTGACACGCAAGCTTGGCGGCTCCCGGTCGAGTTTGAAGGTAGTAAGTACCTCGAGGCTTGGAAGTAACCTAACAATGGTACCCAGGAACTTGTTACACTATTCAGTGCTCGGGACACGAGGAGAAATAAGAGACCATCTGCGCTGAATCGAGTAAGAGCTGTTTATATGAAAACAAACTGACTCGGACAAAGTCAAGGGGACAACAAAGCCATGCCAGGTCGCTGTGGCAGTTTCCTTTACATTGTGCGGGCAGTCAGCTCGATTCTTGCGAGTCCTTCTTCTCCTGAGGTGGAAAAAAAGAGGAGCCCGGGCAAGAAGACGGGAGGTACGGAAAGCATGGGAAGAACACCCGCCACATCTCATATTTCCATTTTTACCTCTACGTAGCTGTAGAGGTACCATTGTTAAAACAATACAGCCCGATTCTATGTTGTTCAAAGGGCTGTCACAGTGAGCAACCGACCAACATACACTACCAACTGAGTGCTTGCCTTCACAGCAGATCTCTTATTCATTCTACGATTCCAGTGGCGTAATTCGTCATCGTCAAGATTTTCTTTTGGTTGCCTGAGCTACCCACCGGATCCAGCCAGTAGGTGAGTGTTGTTTTGGGTTCCTGTGTTGTTATGAGTCAAAGGCGACCCGCCGCCCGCGTTTTATGTACAGCGCTGTAACAGCCCCCTCCAAACCCGCGCAAACCCCACCACCTGGCAAGGATCGCACACAGTAGAGGCACCTTGGGGTACACAATGGTCCGGTAACAGGAGTCCACCTGGCTGTCCACACCTCTCCATCGAAACAGAAACGGCCCGGTGGCTGTTCGCTTTGCCCTTGCCGATTGACGGAGCCCAGAGATTCAGGAAAGACTTTAGCTTCGACTCATAACTTAAAGAGTCCCTGGTTGCCGCGTTTCTGCCACTACACGCCATTCTTTTTTTTTTTTTTTTTTTTGATTTATTTTCTCTGACCATCCCGACCTTGCTCCTCTTCCACTTTTCACCATGACAGTTCCCAGAGACATTGCCCAGTCCACCGGTGACAAGACCGCCGCCCAGTTCAGCGTCTCTCCTTCAACCTTCCAGTCCCCCATCTCCAGTTCCAGCTTCATGGCGTCCGCACTCGCCCACCGCTCTGCGCCCAAGCAGCTCAAGCCCTTCAACACTGAGGACGTCAAGATTCTGCTCCTCGAAAATGTAAACCAGACCGGCCAGGAGATCCTCAAGGCCCAGGGCTACCAGGTTGAGTTCCTCAAGACCTCTTTGCCCGAGGACCAGCTCATTGAGAAGATCAAGTAAGACTCTCTACGAGCCCGTGACCAACAGAAGCACACCTGACTAACGTGCTCTTCAAAGGGATGTCCATGTCATTGGCATTCGCTCCAAGACCAAGCTGACTGCCAATGTTCTTCGGGAAGCCAAGAACTTGCTCGTCATCGGCTGCTTCTGCATTGGTACCAATCAGGTTGATCTGGACTATGCTGCTGAGCATGGTATTGCTGTTTTCAACTCGCCTTTTGCCAACTCGCGCAGCGTCGCCGAGTTGGTGATTGCTGAGATTATCACCCTCGCCCGCCAGCTGGGCGACCGCTCCAACGAGATGCACCGCGGCACCTGGAACAAGGTGAGCGCCAAGTGCTGGGAGATCCGTGGCAAGACCCTTGGTATTGTTGGCTACGGCCACATTGGCTCGCAGCTGTCCGTTCTGGCGGAGGCCATGGGTATGACTGTCATCTACTATGACGTCGTTACCCTGATGGCCATCGGCACGGCTCGCCAGGTGCCTACTCTCGAGGATCTTTTGGCGGAGGCTGACTTTGTCACCCTCCACGTCCCTGAGACGCCCGAGACCAAGAACATGATCTCCAACGACCAGTTCGAGAAGATGAAGACCGGCTCCTACCTCATCAACGCCAGCCGTGGTACCGTTGTCGACATCCCTGCGTTGATCAAGGCCATGCGCAGCGGCAAGATCGCCGGTGCCGCTCTAGACGTTTTCCCCAACGAGCCGGCTGCTAACGGCGACTACTTCACCAACGATCTCAACCAGTGGGGCGAAGATCTGCGTGGGCTCAACAACATCATCCTCACCCCCCATATTGGTGGCAGTACTGAGGAGGCTCAGCGCGCCATTGGTGTAGAGGTCGCCGATGCCCTCGTGCGCTACATCAACCAGGGTGTCACCACTGGCAGTGTCAACGTGCCCGAGGTTACCATGCGCTCTTTGACGCTGGATGAGCCCAACCACGCTCGCGTCATCTACATTCATCGCAACGTGCCTGGTGTACTGCGCAAGGTCAACGAGATTCTCGCCGAACACAACGTCGACAAGCAGATTTCGGATTCCAAGGGCGATATTGCGTATCTCATGGCTGACGTTAGTGACGTCAAGCAAGACGATATCAAGAACATTCGCGACAGCCTGGATTCCCTCAGCTCGCGCATCCTCACTCGCATCCTTTACTAAACGGGAAGGATCGGAACAGTGTACATGGCAAGAAAAGGGGGTTAAGAGTTGCCTTGGGGTGCGGTCATGAGTCATGATATCTGGCGTCGCGGAGTCCGTCGGGTGGATGCACAAACAACGATTTCAACATGATCTCTTTCTCTCTCACGGTATGCCCAACCGGTGCGTGTGCGTCCCGAGGAAGGGGAGAGAAAAGGTCGAACATGACGACGTTCCTGGCACTGGTTCAACATCTAGTCTTTTTCATCAAGTTTTGTTTTTTTTGGGTCATTGGGAGCGCAAGTACAAAATACGGCATGGCAGGTTCTTAAAACAGGACAAAAGGGGAAAATGCCTTTGAACGAAGGCGTCGACAAGTCGATGGTGTGCATTCTGGAAAAGGATCGGAAAAAGGTATCATCACCTGGCATCGATATCCATCATGTTGTCACCAACAGTCAACGATTATACCTACTAGATAATACAGACATCTCTTCCAACATTTCTCGAAGCCGAATGAGATATGGTACGGAAGTCCCAGCTTCTTCACATGCTGCTGTCACCACCATTGGATTTCCGTCATTTCGGGTCTTTTTTTAATCTGTCGATTGGCTGCTGCGGCATAACATTCCCACTTCACCAAAGATTGCAGCTATTCAGCCAGGATGTCCCGGGCTTGGGACGCGGATAAGGTCGACGACGAGGTGTTGCGCACGGACTGCTTTGTCAACTGGGTTATACATACGGTAGAACATGCTGCACCCGCTTCTCCAGTTCTGTACACGTGCAGATATGAGGGTAACTCAGTGGCCTTCCCGTTCCGACCTGGAGGTGGAAGGAAGACATCATCATATCCAGTGTCGTCTCTGTCGCGGGTTAATGAAAAGTGCTTCAACCTTTCATAGCTACAACTGATAATTGATATCAAGCGAGATCTCAATTGCGTTACTGACCAACGGATGGGATTCTTAAACAGAACGGTTTGCTCACGAAGCAAAACAGCATCGGGCCGGTATCATGTCAGTCACCGTCATGGGTGTCATTATCACCGAAACAGACTGATTCCAACACACCGGTGGATGACGTCCGAGTGAGGGACGGTGTTGACTCTGAATGGTAACAGTAGTCACTCGTCGTCAATCCGGCCACGGAGCAGACAAAAGGCGGCAACGACGCGGAGTCGGCGGAAAACCACCAAAAGCATCGCCTTTCCCCCCCTTTTTTCTCCCAAGTCCCAGGTCCCGATACTCGGACTGCCGGCCGCACGGGGGGCCTGGTGGGGCCCGTAAGTAATGTAGTCGCCAACAGTTTCCACAGTCTTTGACGACTCGCCATTCGCTGGCGCTCTTTTTACCCCTGCAGATTCCAGAAAGAGGAGAAGAAGGAACTGAACGCAAATGCAATTGAAAGTCATGGTGCCAGACTCAGTCCACCTATCAATGCCATATTGGTATTTACACTATGCCCCATTTTGGGTTTGCCCATCTCTCTCCTTTTCAGGCGGACAGGTCAATGCATCTCAACTGTCAACAAGCGGGCAGACGGGCCAGACGGGGACCCAGTTGGATGGCATATCGAACGAACAAATGAACGAACGAACGAACGGACCAGTGCAAACAATTGGCCATGGGAGTCTGGGAAGATTGGGTCTTAGTTCCGTGAGTTCCTTCAGGGAGTGGTGAAAACGAAATCCTACCCTGATGAGGGGTGCCGGTGAGCTGTCGGGGAGAAATACAGAAACTCGGGGGAGGACCAAAGACCATAAGAACGAGGAAGCCAAACAAATCAAGAGGCTATAGATTAGGAGGAGAAACATGGTCGTCCTCATAGGACATCCTGACGGTTATTCACGCACTGGCGTGAGCCTCCATAGACACATTTGTACATCTCA